CAAAAGCCTGTTATATGAAAAAATTTTAATTTGCACTTTAAACTGTTTGAATGAATAATTTTAATGCATACAAATTCGAAAAGCTATCCATCCATATCGTTGCGTTCTTTATTAGTTAATTTAGATAGATAGATACAGCTAACACTAGACCTAGAACTAGATACATTTGGGTTTAGCCGTCTTAAGAGACGTGCTGCTAAACCAGAATGTNGACGTGCGGGTAAACCAGAATGTTTCTAGTTCTCGATCCAGTGTTAGTTCAAGTTTTGCACTAGCACTATCACTAGAACTAACACAAGACTTAGAATTAGAATCATTCGGGTTTAGCCGTCTTGAGAGACGTGCGGCTAAACCCGAATGATTCTAGTTCTAGGTCTAATGTTAGTTCTAGTGACCGGGTAGGTAGCGCTAGTTAACATAATATATCACTATGTTGCATATTTTTATTAAACTAGAACTAACACAAGACCTAGAACTAGAATCATTCATGTTTAGCCGTCTTGAGAGACATTTTGCATAAAAGCATCACTTATAAACTCTTCAATACTGTAATAGGTCCTCTGCAACAAAATATTTTTAATTTTAGTGACCGAAGTCTTAAAAGATAAGCCCGTTAAACCACTATACACAACATTGTAAAATTTTACCCCATAGTAGTTGTATGCGTTTCTAGATTTATGAAGTCGTATTGAAACATGCCGAACGTCATTCCCCCTGGTTTCGTATTTGTGAATATCATTATTCTTTTCATGACAATGATGCAATAACATGAATTTTAGGCATTCCAAAACATATAATGAAGAGTTCATACTTTTAAATTAATAAAAGAAGAGCGATATCATCTCTGTAATTTAGTTTAGCGATATTACGAATGGCTCTTGTTTGTAAGCCAAAAATTCTTTTACTCATCGGGGCATGTCCCGGCGTAAGTATACCGTATAGCCAATATGAATAGCAATATGTAATAGCTAATATGACTTTGGCAAAGCGCAAAATAGGCGATACGCCTCAATAGAAAGACAGTGCAATTCAAACGAGAAGCTAAAACTTTCCCATGGAAGTTCCATGTAAATCCAGGATCCACATGGACACAAAGAAATCTGATTCCCTTCTCCGAATTTAAAGACTCGCCACTCTGTCCATGTGCAAAAGTCATTGATAATGTCTTGCCACTATTCAAAGTCAGGCGATTACTAGCTATCCAATGCTTTGCCGATATGAACATTAAATTTTGTGAGGTTATGACATCTGTTCTTGAGATGTGTCTAGTTAACAAGCTAGTATTGTCTGCCGATACTTCCAGGATTAGACACAGCAGAATTAAATAACACATTTTTTTCTGTATGTAAGATAAGATGACAGTAATTTACACGCTTCTGGAGCTACATTACATATGCGAATTAAAATTGACTGACACACACAATCACGTCCAAAAAAACTAGCGTTAGTGCACTGAGAGGTCTCGAGAAGACTAATTGATTTTTTAGTAACGTTTCAAAGATATTTGATAATACAGGTAGTACACTAATTGGCCTATAGTTGGAGGCATCATTAATAGCGCCCTTTTTAAATAGCGGCAAAACATATGCCAAAACAGTCAGTAGTTTTTTTACGGTTTTTAATCATGATTGTATTGAGTCCAAAGATGTCAGCAGATTTGCTTGACCTGTGAGAAAGGATGAAATGTGAAATATTTGTATTTAGAGTAATCCACATGTTCAATTAACAATGATAAAAGACCCTTGCCACCACTTATGTTTTTTACTAATTCACCGGGAATATTTAAAAAGAAATTATTTAGCTGGTTTTAACGCAAACAGCTAACTCTTTTGGCAAAGTTGTCAGAAGTATTACTAGAATTAATTATTTTCTATATTGCTGCATGCTGTTTTTTTATGATTTACAATAAACTTGTCAGTGGTATTTCTTTTAGCTTGGCAGAGCACCTTATATGCAGAGCGATATTTATTCTGTTCAATTAGTGTGCGTTGATTTTTATTAAGCCTATATAATTCGCATAGAAAAGCAAGTGTATCTTTATATTGCTTTAGTTGAGAATTAAACCACGTAGTATTTAATTAATCTTGTTTATTAATAGCAATCGTTTTAGACGGAAAAGCAGTCAGAGCCGCATCTTTCAAAATATTAAAGTGTTAATTTTAATGTTCGGGTGAACATTCACATTATTAAAAAAACTAAGATCTGTCCACAAACGATATCAAAAAATATTTCCAACCCATCTGCCGTGGTTGGACAAAAAGTTTTATATTGATTACCGATATTAATTTTAGGGGGTTTAAGTTCAATTGAAACGGCTAAGTGATCCGAAAATAATGTATCTAGCGCGCCATAGGTGGCAGATTCAGTAAAAGTAACAAACAAATTATCGACACATTTCTATAATCTAGTAGGTTCTAGAAATTCTGACCTCAAACCAAACCCACTGAGAATGATGTGAAGAATGAGAGAATGATTGAAATGTTTCTAACCCGAATGTTTCTAGTTCTAGTTTTAGTTCAATGAAAAATGTATAACTATCTACCGCTGAATAACAACTAAAACTAGAACAAACACTAAACTGAGAACTAGAAACATTCGAATTTAGCCTCACGTCTCTCAAGACGGCGAAATCCGAATGATTTTAGTTCTAGTCTTGTGTTAGTTCTAGTAATAGGCTAGTGTAAAACTAGAACTAACACTAGACCTAGAACTAGAAACATTCGGGTTTAGCCGCACGTCTCTCAAGACGGCTAAACCCGAATGCTTCTAGTTCTAGGTCTTGTGTTAGTGCTAGTGCTCATGCTAGTGTAAAACTAGAATTAACACTACACTGAGAACTAGGAATATTCAGGTTTAGCCGTTTTACGAGACGCATGACTAAAGCCAAATGTTTCTAGTTCAAGGTCTAGTGATAGTTCTACTTTTAGTTCAATAAAAACATATAATAATCTAGCAATTAATAACAATTAAAACTAGAACAAACACTACCATTAGAACTAACACTAGAACTAGAAACATTCGAGTGTAGCCGTTTTAAGAGACTCACGCCTAAACCAGAATGTTTCTACATCTAGCTCTAGTGTTAGTTCTACTTTTAGTCCAAGAAAAATATACAGCAATCCAGCTCTGAATAACAATTAAAACTACAACTATCGTCTCTCATTTATACGTCGTATAGACAACTCGGAAAATACTCCGAGTTTATCTATGAACATGGAATAAAGCAACTTGGGGAATAACCCGAGTTAGATTCTATGTATGAGCGCAAGCATTTACATTTAATCCTGGACAGCTATGCTTCGTCGAATCAACAACACATATTTAAACTTGTTGGAAAGGATTCTTGTTCTTGCTTGTTTTATGCTCCTTTTCCGTATAGCTCTAGTCGTGCTCAAATTATTGGTGTATGCGGAAGTGCAGCTAATAACACATCTTGTAAGTATGATTTTAATTGTGCGTCGTCGAAACGACGTAGCATAGCTTTTGCGTAAGTTTGATGTTTGATTTATAAAACTGGAAAATACAATGTGTACCAAAGTAGCATTGTTAAAAAAATGAATGATGAAGGAATTGTTCTTGTCGAAAGTCAGTTAGTTAACAGATAGACTTGAAATACCAATGAGTGAGTACAAAATAGACCTTTGTCCCTTTTGCATATACTGTAACTAGGTTCTCATGAGAATGTGTTTACTTTTAAGTTAATACATTACTTTACAAGATAAAAATATACGATTATAGCTACCTTAAGTTGCTTTTTTTCTAACACTTTAGTTGTGTAAAACAATCCAAATAACTACAGCTATGTATGTTGATTTTTTGAAGTAAAAATTATTAAAAAATGATCCATTTTTATTTGTCTTCGAGTTAAATAAACTAATGAATTAAATACAATCGATTTTCAAAGTTGTTGGTGCATAGGTCATCTGTATGACCTCTTTGAATAGTGCCGTTGTCTATTCGACGAAGCATAGCCTTTCCGTATATAAAATAAGCATATAAGAGTAATATAATGTAATTGAAATAACTCGTATTTACTATTTGATGTTTAACACTTTTAACTGCCAAAAGTTGAAATTACGTTTCCGATAATCGTTTTCGATTCAACTAAACTTTATCCTCAAATAACTCAAAGTCAGTTAGTCAATTAATGCTTGTTTGCAATGGGCCCGATATACCGAAATTACATAAAACCGGTAATTGGTCGTTTCGCAATGGGGGGCGCATGTGTCGCCGAACTATGTTATTCTCTTTCTCCCTCTCTCGTTGCGACATGCTCGTGGCAAGATTCAGCATGCCTTTCCGCCTCACGTTCGCCGGGATTCATCGAAGTGCGAAAGATAGTGCGATGAGTAACGTTTGGAATTGCGTCCTCCTCCGGCCGTAGACATACAACAATAAACAGAACGGCTTGGTGCTGTTCACAGCAATGGAGCTTTACTTTATATGGAACAACGTTTTTTAGACGCATTTGGGTTTTGGTGTAAACAGGGACATCCTTGTATTAAAAGTGACGACGAGTATGGTGTTGCGTCACATTTTCGAATGGCTTCGATGAAATGAGTTGAGCAACGTCGGGGTGACTTGGATGTGTTTTTCTAAGAGGCGAAAAATAATAAATATAGAGTAGCAGATTTTTTTTGTTTATAGATTTCTTGTATTTTTTGGAGGAGGATGTAATATATGTTAGGTCGGCATTCGCAAAATTGGACATCGTCGCGGGATAATTGGATTGTCAGTCATGGCAAATCACCCGGAGGATTTCGGTAAATGGGCCGACCGGAGCTCTCGTCCTTCTTCCCCGGTTGGAAGGACATTGCATTACCGCGTCTCTCCTTTCTTCCGACAATTTGTTTAACCGGACATCGGTGACCGGTCAATTTCTCCTTATTTATAAAACGAACCTTTTCGACCCTTGACTAAGGGGAGATAACCTTAATTTACGTAGATGTTTTTTCGTAATTTAGAAAAGTCCTTTTTTTTATTTTGTTATTGAGACTTACCCATTGCGGATTGTCTAAGGTGGCGCCCGTTTGTTGGGGTTCTTCTTTGGCTGGCCTCAGTCCTGGTGTCACTTTTGCTTTCGCGGGTGACAATCTACTTCCGGGTCGCGCGCTAAACGGGAAGTAAGGGCTATCGGCGGCAAACGGTTCACCTCCGGTTGCCTGTGTCGGACTGGCTCCCGGACCAGCATATCCCGGACCCGCGGGACTTAGAGCGTACGCCTGAAGTAAAAAAATAATATACAGAAAAAAGAAATTAAAAATGCATTTCTTTTAATTTCAGAAAAAAATGAAAATAATAATAAGCAAACTTTGCCAGGTTATATCAAGTTCGTATTTGAAACACTGTACTTTTTTTAACTCAACACCTAGAAGAAATAAATAAAAAACAAAAATAATACGTTCCATAAGATTAGATGCAGTTAAATAATGCATCCAAAAATATGTGTTCTTTCCGTTTGTTTTAAACTCCAACACCAGTTCAAAAACAAAGCGAATAACACTATATTCGTTATTTTACTTTATCTTGAAACTTGCGAAAGCGAGTTATTCATGTATTTACTTATTTCTTGGTGCGGGTGTCGAGTTAAAATAATAACAGTGAATATAGCGAATTGTATATTGTGAAATATAAAACTTCTTTTCTTCAAGAATAGAATATGTGTGAAGTTTTTTTTACATCTCTACTTGTTCTTTTTGTAAGTTAGTGTCATATTTACATTAATATCATTCTATCACAGAAACTCTTTGTTACAGCTATTAGACTTCGAATAAAAGTAAAGCTAGTTCCTAAATACATAATATTCAAATAATACTTGTTGAATATTGCAAGCTTTATTTGTCACCGACATGTTGTAACAGATTTATGTCGTTGAAGGACGAAAATCAATATCAATACAATCAGATTCATTTACTTTTCATTTGAAACAATCCTGATGATGATGATACATCGAAACCGGTGGAGATGTTATGCTGACGTTGGGGAGAAGCACCAACTGAATTATTCGACACATTTCAATTAATTGATATACGGTTAAAGTTCACGATTCTAATTGATTTTTGAAGAAATCTGTCTAAATTAATGGAACGCTTAGGATTAATGTTCAAAAATGAATTAGGATGGAATTTTTGATTTATTGCAACGTTAACTCAGAGTAAACACTCGATTAACATCAGATTAAGCGTTGATTAGCATTCGATTTTGATTTTAAATCATTCATTCTAACACAATATAACGCACCCAGTAGATAATTATTATTTGATTAGCGATGGGTTGAACTTGTCTACACTAAAAACATAACTTTGTTTTGGTTAATCTTGAACGATTGATTAACTTTACACTCAACATCTCATTTACATTAGCTTACTATCATGGTTTGATAACATCTATTTTTGAATTGAATACGATATTGTTTTATTAACTATTATTCGATTAAACGGCTAACTTCGCTTTGGGAACATTTAATTACTTGTATCGATTAGCGCTCGCTTGAAGAGAACGTAGAGTTAATTGAGTTTTGTAAAACTGCGTCTTAATTACATGTCAATGAACGTTCGATTAAAGATTAAACCAATTTTTAATTTATTGCGATCTTAATCCGCAGTCAATACTGATCAAGTGTTGATTAATATTCGATTTAAATTTTAACAGTCCACTTAGACTCGATATGATACTAATGCCCTATTAAAAACTGAAGAACGAGCTCAAACGATAAACATTCGTTTAAATTAATATGGTGGTGCAATCTTGTGATGAATTTTTGATATATTGCGACATTTACTTAGAGTAAACACTCTATTATCCTCAGGTTAAGCGTCGATTAGCATTCAATTTACATAATTCATTTTAACATAACATAACGCAGGCACTACAAACACTATCATTATTTGATTAGCGATCAGTTGAACTTGCCTATATTTAAAGCATAACAACATCGCTGGTCAATGTTGAACAATTGATTAACTTCACACTTAGCATCCATTAGCTTACTGTCATGTTTTTAAAACGTGCGGGAACTGTCCCTCACCGATTTCGTTGCAATTTGGTACAGCGGTAATATGGATCAAAATAATCTTTTTACACGTGCTAATAAAGCCCCAGGGGCGAGTTATAAGGGTTGGAAGTTGGGGCGAACGGTTTATATTCGTTTATAGCTTGAAGACGAATACAGCTATCGAAATGTGGTAAATTGTAAACTGATATTGAAAGTTCACCCCAACTTTCAACCCTTATAACTCGCCCCAGGAGCGCTATTAGCACGTATAAAAAAATACGTAAACCTTGTTTTAATGTAACTATCGCTATACCAAGTTGCAACGAAATCGGTTCCGACACTTCCCTTGTTAGATTCAATATGGTATAAACGCTTTATAAAAGAAAATCAACAACATGCTCGAACGATTAACTTCCGGTTCACTTAATGTTTTGCTATCTTTTGATGAGTATTTAATGATGTTCAATGATTAATATTCGAAAATATATAGGGATCGAATTTTTGATTTACTGTAACGTTAACTAAAAGTAAACACTCGATTAAGCTTTGATTAACTTAGATTTTGATTTTTAATCATTCATTTTGACACAATTTGTCGCAAACGCCAGCATTATGATAATTATTTGATTAGCAATCAGTTGAACTTATCTACGTATATTTAAAACATCACTTTGTTTTGGTTAATGTTGAACGATTGATGAACTGTACATTTAGCATCCATTAACTTACTCTATATTTGACTGAATATGACATTGAATGCTATTGATTTAAAGACTATTATTCCATTTGTAATCGATTTACTTCACTTTAAGTACATTTAATTACTTCCATCGATTAACTGAAACTGTGTTTGTGAACGTTCGATTAAAGTTTAGAAAATCCATTTTTATTTTAAGACCTGAAATTAATAAATAATAAATACTAGATTAATGGCGTTGATTGATTAATATTCATTTAAGTTAAAGATTAAAAGTATTAAATACTTTAATTGAAGGTAGGAGGAGTTGAAGTAAAGAAAACAGGAGTTATCACTGCCGTAAAATAATATTATATACATTTGAAATCTGCCTATATAACGCTTTCCGATGATTAATGTGTTGGGTTGGAATATTTGAATTATCTCGGTCTATATAATACTCGATTAACCTCAAGTTAAGCGTTGATTAGTATTCAATTTTTATTTTACATCATTTATTTTAACTTAATATGACCCAAATACTAGGATTATATGATTATAATACACATTTAGCATCACTAAACTTGCTATAATAGTTTGTTAAAATCAATTTTTGAATTATTGTGGCATTAAATTTGATAATGTTTTAAAGACTATTTATTCTAATAGTGTTAAGTTAACTTCGCATAAAGGAAATGTAATTTTAACTTCTGGACGCTAATCGATGTTCTAAGGAAATATCATGATGTTAATGGAGCTTTATTAAACTGTAACTTCATTAAAGCGATATTGTACTTCGCTGAACGTTCGATTAATGTTTAAATTAAAAAAGTTGGGCTTAATATAATACAAATGCTTTATTAAAAACTCATGTTGCAGTCGGCACATTTGACTAAAATATTATAAAATCATTAAGGTGAAAATTAGGATCTATTAGTGAATTGATAACATCAATTTTTGACAGGATACTACTTTAATGTCGTGCTACGAGTATAAAGTAGTTTGTTATGGAAATTTTATTTCCGCATAGAAAACGACAAGAAATATGACACTTTTTTTTACTTTAATATTGGTCTTTAGAAAGTTTTTGAGAACTCGATGGACAACATCTTAATAGGTCAAAAGTGACCGTTTGATATACTGTGGCGTCTATAGACGTCGTTGCTATTTTGAAGGAGTCATAGTTCTAAGTATATACAACCTCGAGAACTTCCGGTTCCATTAATAATATCTCTTGTATACAACGTACGACTGATTTAAATCCCTGTGTCTATCTGCAAGAGCACACTTCAAGGTCGAAGTTTTCAAATATTGGCCTTGACCTTTGAACTAAAGGAAACTTTCCTCATAACCAATCAGCACAGACCTAGTTGCAACCCAAAAACTCTCTTTTTTTGAGTGTCTTAGTTTTGGGGCTCGTAATATGATCAAATGTGTTAGACGTATGTGACGTTGCTCCGTTTTACTGAAACGTTCTTCGGTTATAGCCAGGAAAGTTCTGCAGTTATGATACCTTCTGCAACGAGATCCCAACTTTTTCTTCACAACTTTAACTCATAATAATTGTGATCATAATTTGTGTGGTTCAACACTTCCTATCTTATAGATTAAGTTAATTTATAGATTTTTTACTAATATAGTGCGCGTCAAAAGTAACCCATCCCCATCACCCTTTCCAATCCAATTTGAAAACGGTTCGAGATATCGTCATGAGAAATTGTTTTAGCAGTTCTTTATGCTAAAATATTTGGGCTAATAAAAAATCTAAATCGAAATGTGTTTTGGCTCATGGCATTTGACGCGCACTGTAAATGGGAAAAAAATCTGGAAAAGCCAAATTTCCTCGTGAATGAGTTTATTGCCGTAAACATTAGATTTGAAATTATGCATAGTCGTTAAATCAGGACTGGATGTCAACTCCTGAAGATCAATTTTCTCAAATTTCTTAAATTCATGTCAAAGACATGTTGGACGTATGTGACGTTGCTCCGTTTTACTGAAACGTTCTTCGGTTATAGCCAGAAAAGTTCTGCAGTTCAGACTCCAAGAAGTCGACTAACACATAACGTTCTGAATTCACTGTAACTGCGCGTCCCATGTTTGCCGACATCACTGTTCATACTTAAGTAACTTTGGGGGAATAAAATTCTGATGGTTGCTTTTCGAAATCGTTGCACTCCAATAGTGACCGTTCTGATTATTCGAAGTCGATAAGATGAAAATAAGCTTAATCTGAAAACAAGATATTGGTAAACATTCAACAGCTATTGACGGGTGATATCCTGGGATTTTAATTCTTGTACCAATTGGATTTTGTAAGCGTGCACATTTTAGGTCCATGTACAAAATGCGGAGTAATGTTACATACAATTGAAAGATTTTGATCGTCACAAACAAATTGACTTAAACTCATCCCACTTCTTCCGTTCTTGATGACCTTGATCGTTGGGATTTTTGTTTTTCCAGTGTTGTACTGGTTTCTTCACACTTTCTTATCAACTTCCGAATGACATCATTTAAGTGACGTAAGCTGCAGAATCTTTTCAGTACTA